ACACACACACACACACACAACACACACACACACACACACACACACATACACACACATATATGCATACACAAAACTGGCACTCACAACGACATCCCATACGTAGGCAGGCAGATGGCAAGGTAGGTAGAACACATACGGTTGTGGCGCAAAAGTTACCTTACAATTTTATAAATCGAATATCCAATAAAATACATGCTCTGAACAACAACAAAATCTGTTGAGGCACATGTTCGCAGTAATCGATGAAGCCATATTCATGAAATATTGCATCGCGTAAGAGGCCTTCATTTTTGGCCCCGCACATCTGTGCCTTCTTCCAACAACGTTTTTGTATATAAAACGTTAGTAAATTTGTTTTGACACAGCGCATGGATTTCAACCTCAATATGGCCCGCTTCAACTGCTGAATTATTATCTTGAGGCTTGAGGCTTGAGGCATGTTGCTGTTTTAGTGTTAGTAAGTGTTTAATGGCACTTTCAACACAAAAGGTCATATAAGCGCTGAAGATTTGAGGTGTTACAAGAGAGTAACAGACACAAAAAAGAAAGAGGAGAGATATGGACGATAGATGTGAGCTAAGAAAGAAGAAGCAAACCACACCAGGGCACCCATGACTCCAACCCACAAGGTGCAAAGGAGTCTCATTCCGCATGATCTAAGACAAGCGCTCGGAGCTTATAAACTAGTATGGGATAGAGCGCTATATAAACGCAATCTATTATTAATTGTTAAGCAAGATGCTGTCTTTTCTGGTCATCTGTTGAAAAATGACATCACCCGTCGAAAGTCAAAATGACACGCTTTTATCTCTTGGACCAGCTGCGCCTTTTACGGACAGTGTCAATTCATCAGTCCTTCTGGAGTCTTTGCAATGATCTCCTAGAGAGGTTAAGCTGAAGAAACGGGCATCGGCTCGACGTGAATGCTTCCTCCATTTCATTTTCTTGAAAATGTGAAATGGCATTGCTAGTTTAATGCCCCTATTATCACTGTTATGTGATTTAATGGTTTAACGTCCATCTCCAAAAGGCTCGAGCTAAATGGAAAATTCGTGTAAAGTGCCTTTCCCAAGGACACAGCTTCTCACTTTCATCAACACGGGCCCTGCTTTCAGGGGCTTGCACAGAACGTGGTCTCCCATTTCGTGAAGCGGAGAATTAAATGGATTTTCG